GCCCATTGAGTCAGTATCGCATCATAATCTAAGTTGTTTTACGTCTTATACTCAACAAAACAAGAATTCATGTGTGAGATAGTGTCATGTCGAATTCCTGAGAGTTCGTCTATTTTATTCCACTGCATTTGTTACACGTGATATTTTTGAAACGGACCCGATCATGAAGCGAATATTATTGTGGGCGGAACGTCTCGGGAATTACATACACGCTATCCCTATATTTAGCTCAACCGTGCAGTGATTTTTTACCTTATGCATAATAAGGGCATACCGGTTACATCTGAGTCGGCTAAGTTTGGTGAAGTGGAACGATTTCTCAATCCAAAACGAACAACGATCAAAAGCACACCACTGAAACAAGTGGTCTAGCTAGGATGATTTCTGTGGAATTCCCTTTTTAAAAAGTAATGGTCAAGGCTACTTTAATTCCCATCCACACCCAGTGATCAGAGGCTTTCGTGTATCTATATCCTTGCATCTTTGCCCTCCTGGCTATTCGTGGTAATAAATTGCTGTTGACCTTCTAAAAGGCTCGTTTGTGTCCAGTAATCGGTGAAGCTGAGTAACTTTTTCGCTGCAGACGCATCTGTGCAAAATATGTTTTGCTGCATTCTAGTGCCAATCTCAGTTTTTTTACCAGAGTGGCATTTATATTGGTGACCGAAGAGCATTCTCAAAGACGGAAAGGCATAAGTAATCGATTGGGACTGGTCAACCTACACTCCGGCTAAGTAAACACCAGTGAAATCTCCCTCTTTGAGATTTTGGGCTTCACGAGACCATTTTCGGTAGAACTCTTTACTCTGTCAGATCCATCACTGGCACCGAAGACAAATACTGTGCTGCACCCCTTTTCTAGAGCGTTCTATGGCTGATTTGTTATGGTACGATCAGTAATACAACTGCTTCAGTTCCCATCAGCACTCGTCAGATGTCTCAACACGTAGTCAAAGACCTCGGGTAATTATTTGATCCTCCAGGTATGAAGCGAGGTAAAACCAGTTGGTTGTTATGCCGAATATCTAACGAATTATACATTTTCCTCGGGAGCTCAGAGTTTGGCAGAGTTTGGCTGTTATGCTGCCACACCGTCTAGCTCAGACGCTGAAATGAATAAATTATACTATCTGGTGTCTGTTGGGTGACATCTACGCTGATCCAGAGCTGGCAGATGTTTCTCCTCCCCAATGTTTGTGTCGAGTAAAAATGATCGCTCTGAAGTACTGCACTCCATTGTATGTATCCCAAACATAAAGCATCATAATCTGCCTAAACTATTTTAGAATTAATTTTAATTGATCTTTCTTCTTACTATTTCACGCGCACGCAACTTTACAGTTGCAGTGCTGTGGCTTCAGATGTGTCTTGGAAACCTAGTGGCTGTCCGGTTTACATTCTTTATGACGTGACAACACCTTGAATGAATACATGACGGATATCCATGTAGTATTTGTGAGTTCAGTGGTTATTAGAAACACAAACGCCGTTTTTCATTACGGGGGGCTATACTACTAATACCGCAGCCGGCCAGCACAACCGATTGAAAGTACGGAAATCTAAAAAACCCATTAAGTTAAGTGTATTTGCTAGTGGTGAACAGTACACAAAGCATCGCAAGTTCAGTGCGGTTTTGTCTAAGGAGACACGGGAACCTCTCTGGGCTACCCGCTATCATTATGTTAACCAAAACCATCACGTCTCCAATTTTTGTGCGATCAACTTTCAGTGAATCGACGGTCAACCGATAATGAGTTGAGCCCCTGTATCCCTACGAATCAGCTATGTGTGTTTGGCTCTGCGCTGCGGTCGACGTAGGTTATATTCAGCCATTTTATTGGGAGTCACGAGACCCAGGTACAATCAATTGTTTGGCTATATCGAAGGTGATGTATAGTTTTTTGCTTTTCTGCTTTCTTATTTTCGCTTTTGTACCTTCGGCCTATATTTTCACTTCCAGCCTATCTATTCTTCTCAACCGTTCGGCATCATCGTTACCACATACAGCAGTTTTCCGTTTAAAAAGAAGTTTGAAACGAAACACCGTTGGGAACTAAACTAAACTAAATTAAATATTATGTTTAGCTCTCGTGCTGGGTACTGGAACATTTTGCAAAAAGCTTACAGTCGAATTTTACCTCCGGCCATGTGAGAAAAACAGTTTCGATGAAAACAGACTTCATATATAGATGAGCTTGGGTCACAACAGTGTTTGCAGGCCCTCTCTACTGGTAACGCTTCCGCATACATGATGGGAAAGGGTGTTCCTGGAAATCACAAACCCAGTATATCCAATATAAGCACCACTACAACTTGGTCCGATAAACCAAAGTTAACCAGCAGATCAGCCGGCAAACGGAACCAACAGGAGGAGTGTTGTCTGGCCGCAGAGGTCAAACTCACATAATAACAGCCACACCAAGTGTAGGTCAACTAGCCAAGTAACAGGACAATTTATCTGGACGACAATCAAATGAAAACCACCCCTCTCCTTAACGTAAACTACAGAAACAGTACGAAAGCTTTGCTGAACACGTTCACAACGAAGTACCACAAACCAACGATGTAACGACCTACTATGCACTAATGTTGTAACCAGTACCGATTAAAAGAGGTTTACTACTG